ACTTTTTTTTTTTTTAAGGTTCACAACAAAAGTTAAATATACCTTCAATCTTTTTTCTTTCTTTTTTAATATATTTAATGTTAACAATTTTTTTTTTTTTTTTTTTTTTTTTTTTTTTTTTTTATTTTTTAAGGTTCACAACCATTTTTTTTTTAATTTTTAAGATTCACAACCGAATCTAAATATACATTCAATCTTATTTTATTTTATTTGGTTCAACAACAAAATCAAATACACATTAATTAATTAATTAAAAAGTTTGTTTTATAATAATCAAATATATAATTTTGAGACAATCAAATAAGTTTTAGTAATTGAAAAAAAAAATGTGAAAGAACGTAGAAGATTAAAAAAAAAAATTACAACCATCTCTCTCTCTCTCTCTCACTCTTGTCCCTACATGTTATAAGAACCTATTTATAATGTTACCTGTTTGAAAAAATAAAATGTGAAAGAACCTATTTGAAGAAAGTGTTATAAGACCCATAATAAATTACATCAAGGCATAAATAAGGAATTGTTTGTTGATCTCTATCAACAACACTGATACATAGCGACCCATGTTCATCCCAACGGTAGCACACAAAAAAATAAAAAAATTGTAACAAATCAAAATGCACAACAGAGATCTTAAAGACAGTACCAACAAAATAATGTCAAAAGCATTTTGCCAACCAAAACCCACATATGGATAACTTCACTCTACATACACATGTATGTCAAAATATCTAACTGTGTAATTGTAAACATCATAAACGAATTGCACAAAATTATTAAAGTAGTTAGATGTTCATAGTAAGGCTTAATTCAACTAGAAGCAAAACACACTAAACTCCCAATGCACATTCTTTGGCATTTTAGCTCCCAATTCAACAAAGTGCATTCTTTAACATTTCAACTCCAAGTCTTTACAAGTTTCTTACAACAGCAACACTCTAGCAGCAGTAGCATTTCAACAGCAGCAACGCTCCAGCAACAAAACCTACACAAGGATAATAAAGATCAAAGAAAACAATGTTGCTCGACTCTAATTCACATCTATATAATAGAATATCTTTTGAACCCAATATGATCCACAATAGACAAAGGGTATTCATGCAAGATTATGGCATTTGAAAGCTCACTCCTAGCAATATCTTCATCAAAACTATAAGAGACTTTCGGACTCTCCTTGTTAAAGTTGCTAGTTAAAACTCTTTGTCTCATGTCCATTCCCTCCATTTTCTTAAGACAACTCCTATAGTGATCACGCAAATGTGAAGTTCCATGCTTCGGATTACCCCCAAGATGCTTCTTACAATAATTACATATGGCTTTCCACACGCCATCAATTTTTTCTTTCTTAAAGTGTTGCCACACAAAACTAGGGTTTTTTCTAGTAGCTAAACTAGAATCAGAATCACCTACATCAAGCACATTTTGATTGGGGAGGGGAGACTGTGATGGTAGAGAGGTCTCACTCTCAACCGATATTGATGGTTGTAAACCATCAACGGGTAGTTGGGAGTTTGCTTGAGAGTTTGCTCCAACTTCCGACATTATCAATGCTTAAAAATCCTAAAGAACATAAATTAGAACAAACACAATCATATTGATATTCCCTAACAACATTTTTGCATAAAAAAGGAAAAAACAAGGGAAGAAGAAATAACAAATTCTAAGAAATTGAGTTACACCAAATGATTAGAACATGGATTTCATACCCATATAAGGAACAAACATCCAACAATTTATATGAACAAGTTCAATTCAACTAAAATTGGATTCACATAGATACAAATGGAAGATCTATTCACTCAATATCAATAACTGAGCTAGATTTGCCCAACCACATTACTTTATATAGGCCTATTTCAGAACATTTATATGCCCATCATAATTCAACCATACAATAAAATTTGAGATTGAAGGATTTTTCACAGAAAAAAAATCCTTTTTAAATATGATTTCACATATTGTCATAAACTTGTGGAAAATCAACACGAGACATTTCGATGGATTACACAAGGTGAGATATGTAAGATTTTTGAGGATGCCTAATTAATTCTGGGGTGCCCTTATATTGGATACGATTTTTTTTCTTCTTCTTAAAGTTAACATACATATAAAAATGGAAGTAACCAAAATGTATGGAGGAGTCCGATCGATTTTGGATATTATAGCACAAAAGATAGAAAAATAACAGTTTGAGTAAAATCTTTCATTATCTAGAATCTACATGATCTGGATGCTAGGAATTTTTATCTATTAATTCAATTCTACGTGATTATGCAATGACTAACAACACTGAAGACCTCCCAAGATTTGGACAAGATGAAGACTAGGAAGGACAGCTTCAAAAATGACATGATTATCTTGGATTTATAGCCATCATGCATTCAAACGCAATATTCACAAGTGATTCGTCTAAAGAGATAATAGATTGTTTATTAGCAGTGTTGGATCGACATCTTGGCAAATTTCTTCAAACTTCGATTATTGCATTTCGACATTC